AAATCGCCATCACCCATACCTACGACTATATATAATCGGCTAAGCGGTTGTGTGTGTGTGTGTGTCCTGACCATAAATTCATAACTTCAGTCCCTTTGGTCCCCGAGCGCTCAAACTTTCAGGTGGTACGGGGGGCTGGACACGAACATCAATGGGGAGTGATCGGAATTGATAACTACTGATTAGAGCTGATAACGGACGTCGGAAAGCTCATATCACCAATTTCGCTACGCCGTTCGCGTTGACAGTGGAGAGTTTCCACTCATAAGTGTAATGTGAACTGGTGGTTAATTGGTACCAGACTTGTCTGGGAGGATAAAAACACTGACTTGTACATCGGCTGGCCCCCGCAAGTCATTGTATAGGCCACATCGCATTCAAACGCCACTACGAATGTACAAATGGAAGTAGAATGCGTGCCGCATCCCAAAAAGGGATTGATCAACGGCAAATGCTTTATCCTTTATCCTTTAATGTTCTCCTTTTTAAACAAGTTTCTACGCGGTCGAAAATTTACCTTAAACTATGGCGCTCTGCAAATCATCGTATGAGCCCATCACCCAGTCAAATACTGCTTTTTTGCAATTTTCAAAGACGGTTGGATGCATGGCGCATGAAGCAGCTTTCTGATTTTGCCTCCTACTTCACCACTTTCCTTTTTCTAAACTGCTAAGACTTGAAGCGGATGACGTGTCGTTTTCATATGTGTGACTTGTACAGCCGGCCGACTAGTCATCAAGGGGTTCCGACCGAGGCCCTCGTGACCATTCGCGCCGTTTCCGCATATCAACACCGCGCTATCTAAATACGGGCCGTTCAGATGGTTCTGGACGCTCGTTGGCTGCGTTTACGTCACTGATTGCGGTCGAGTTTACGATATATTTGTCAGGCTTTTGATTCTCACTGGCAGATTATTTTTGGTTTTTGGTGAGCACTGCCGAGACTCGCCTGCAATGCTTCACCGTTCCTATTTGCTAGCTTCTTCTAGGACCAGGAAAAAAGGGTCACTGTTCATCGTCGCGTATCTGTCCCGAAGCCTGATTGTTGTTTTCTACGTGGACCAAATATCTCTCC